CGGGGGCCCGAATGCTGGAGATCCCCGGGGAATCCAGTGGCGCGACCGCGGACGCTCTGGCTGCGAAGCTCAGAGCGTCCCTGGACGCGGACGAGGCCCGAGTGTCCAGGCCCGTCAGATGCGCAGACCTGCGCATCATGGGTCTGGACGACTCGGTATCGGAGAAGGAGTTAGTGGCCGCCGTCGCCAGGTCCGGGGGGTGCACTACTGACCAGGTCAGGTCAGGCGCCATACGCCCGGACCAACAGGGTATGCATGCCGCCACGGTGTGCTGCCCTGTTACGGCGGCCAAAACCATAGTGGAGGGCCGAAGGCTTCTGGTGGGCTGGGTCTCAGCGCAGGTTAAGCTGCTGGAGCCCAGACCTCTGAGGTGCTACCGCTGTCTCGTGGGGCACCACGTATCTGTGAAATGCGCCTCGGAGGTTGACCGCAGTGGCCTTTGCTTCCGCTGCTGTCAGCCCGGACACATATCGGCGACCTGCTGCGCCACGCCGCACTGTGATGCATGTGCGGCGACCGGCAAGCCAGCCGATCACCGGGCCGGAAGCAAGGCCTGCGTGCCACCCGCCAAGGCCAAGGCCGCGGGCAGGGGAGGGCCCTCCACCGCCACCGCCTCTGTGGCCACCGCCGCAGTCGCGACTGCCGCCGCCGCCGCCGCCGCTGTCACTGTCGCTGCCGCCGCCGCCGCGACACCGACGCCCGCAGAGAGGCGCCCCGTGGAGGAAGCTGAAATGGAATGCCTATAACGGCCCCATTAAGCTTCCTCCAGGCGAGTATCAACCACTGCGCCTGCGCTCAGGATCTGTTGCTCCAGAGCATGGCGCAGTGGTCGATCAACATCGCTGTGGTCGCTGAGCCGTATTTTGTCTGGCCTAGGGAGGACTGGGTGGCGGACCTTAACGGCTCAGTGGCCATCATTTCTTCAGCCGCCGCCGGTACCCCGACCCTTGAAGGTGTCAGGAGGGGTCAGGGGTGCGTAGCAGCACGGTTCGGGGAGTTCGTCGTTGTGGGGGTGTACTTCTCCCCGAACCGATCTCTCGCCGAGTTTCACAACTCTCTTGCAGAGCTGAGAGCAGTCGTCGTCGGAAGTAATCCCCTCCCCGTACTTGTCCTCGGGGACTTCAATGCCAAGAACTTGACTTGGGGTTCTCGTCGTACAGATGTGCGGGGTAGGATGGTGGAAGACTGGGCTCTGGAGACAGGCCTGGTCGTCCTAAATCGGGGTTCTGTCCCCACGTGTGTGCGGATGCGGGGCGAGTCGGTGGTGGACATTTCGTTCGCTAGCCCCGCTCTGTCGCCGCGTGCCATTGACTGGCGTGTCATGGAGGGGGTGGAGACCTACTCCGACCACCGGTACATCCGGTTTGACGTCTCCACCCAGCCCTCGAGCGCGCCAGTCCAACAGGCCCCGAGTGGTCCGCGTTGGGCGCTGAAGCAGCTGGACCGGGAGCTCCTCCTGGAAGCCTCGATCGTGCAGGCCTGGGTGTCATCACCGGACAGGCCTGCCGACGTCAATGATGAGGCAGGGTGGTTCCAGGAGGCCATGTCCGAGATATGTGACGTGGCAATGCCCCGCGTCCGGCCAGGAAGCGCCCGGCGTCAGGTGTATTGGTGGTCGCGTGAGCTGACGTCTCTGCGCGAGGCGTGTGTCGCCGCGCGGCACCTGTACGCCAGGCATCGCAGGCTCCGCATTCGTCCACCGAATGCGGCAGCCATTGAGGCGGAGCTGTACGAGGGATACAGAGCGGCAAAGACCGCCCTCCGGGAGGCTGTCCTGCGGGCCCGGGATCGGGCCCGTGAGGAGATGCTGGAGACTCTCGATAGAGATCCGTGGGGGCGCCCTTACAAGATCGTGCGGGATAAACTCCGCACCTGGGCCCCCCCGCTGACGCAGAGTCTCCGGCCTCAGCTCGTGGAGGATGTGGTGAGCGCTCTGTTCCCTGCGCGCGGGGAACATCCGCCCCCGCCTATGGCTCCGCCACCTGCGGTGCCGGAAGCGGACCACCAGGACGACGGCGACGACATCCCGGAAGGGACCGGGGTAGACCTGAGAGTGGCGGTACGTAGGCTCAAGGCCAGGAATACCGCCCCAGGACCCGATGGCTTGCCTGGCAAAGCCTGGGTCCTGGCCTCGGAGGCTCTCGGGCCCCGACTGGAGGGGCTCCTAAGCGCATGCTTGGAGAGAGGCCAATTCCCGCTTCGTTGGAAGACGGGGAAGCTGGTCCTCATTCGGAAGCCGGGGCGCCCTGCGGACTCTCCGTCCGCATACCGGCCCGTGGTGCTGCTCGACGAGGTGGGCAAGCTCTTTGAAAGAGTAATTGCAAACCGCCTCGCCGAGTACCTTGCGGGGACGGGGCCGGATCTTGCGGAACACCAGTTTGGTTTCCGCAAGAGGCGCTCTACGGTGGACGCCATCATGCGCGTGAGAACCCTCACGACGGGGGATGCAGTGGCCAGGGGGGGGGGGTTGTCTTGGCGGTGTCTCTCGACATCGCCAACGCCTTCAACTCCATGCCCTGGAGCTGCATTAGGGAGGCACTCCGGTATCACCGGGTGCCGACCTATCTCCGTCGTATAGTCGGGGACTATCTGACGGACAGGGCCGTCATCTACCCCGGTCGAAACGGAGAGTGGAACCGGCGAGAGATGTCGTGCGGTGTCCCACAGGGTTCGGTTCTGGGGCCGCCCCTGTGGAACATCGGTTACGACTGGGTGCTGCGCGCCGACCTCCCTACCGGCGTCAGCGTAGTTTGCTACGCTGACGACACGCTGGTACTGGCACAAGGGGGGTCGTACGAGGCGGCGGCGGAAACTATGACACGCGGGGTTGCGATAGTCGTTGAGAGGATCCGGCAACTGGGTCTCGAGGTGGCTCTGCACAAGTCCGAGGCCATGCACTTCCATGGTCCTCGGAACAGGCCACCACCGGGATCCTCAGTGATGGTAGGAGGGGTATCCATCGGCGTCGAGTCGACGTTGAAGTACCTAGGACTCGTCCTCGACGGCCGATGGAACTTCGTTGAGCACTTCCGACGTTTGGCTCCCAAACTGGAACGGACCGGGGCTGCCTTCAGGCGGCTCCTGCCGAACCTGGGGGGGCCAAACGCCTCCTGCCGGAGGCTCTACGCGGGGATCGTGAGGTCCATGGCCCTTTACGGGGCCCCGGTGTGGGCGCGTGGTTTGGCGCGGCTTGCCGTCCACCACCTAAACGCGCCCCAAAGGGTGGTTGCCGTAAAGATGGTTCGCGGCTACCGCACGATCTCCCGCGAGGCGGCGAGCCTCCTTGCCGGATTGCCGCCATGGGATCTGGAGGCGATAGTCCTCGCGCGCCTGCACGAATGGCGCGCGGCAGCACTATGCCGGGGGGAAACCCCGCTGCCGCGGCAAGTTGTCGCGCAGCGGACAGACTTCCGGCATGATCTCATGGCGACATGGAGAGAGCGACTGTCGCAACCCCGTGCTGGGCACGCCACTATAGCGGCGATAAGACCCCTCTTTGAGGAGTGGCTTGAGAGACGCCACGGCGTCCTCACCTTCCGCCTGACGCAGGTCCTCACCGGACACGGTGTGTTCGGGAGGTTCCTGCACCGAATCGGGCGGGAGGAAACGCCCGGGTGCTCCCACTGCGAGGATCGACCGGAGGACACGGTGGAGCACACCGTGGAGGTGTGCTCTGCTTGGGCGGAGCACCGCCGTGTCCTCGTAGCGGCGATAGGCGGCGGCGACCTCTCGCGTCCGGCTCTGGTCGAAGCCATGGTCCGGAGCGAGACGGAATGGGATGCCGTCACCACCTTCTGCGAAGCAGTGATGCTAGCGAAGGAGGTGGCGGAGCGGGAGAGGGAAAGAGCAACAGCTTTCCTTCCCGGCCGCCGCGGGAGACGCCCCGGGCGTCGGGGGCTACGTCGTGGCCCCCGACCACCGTAGGCGCGGGCCTGTGGACGGCGAGCAATGGGTAGCTCGCCGTCCGTCCGTCTAACGACGACAGGCCGTGTCGACGGCGCGTTTTGTTCCACGCGCGCCTCAAAGAGCTGTCAGCAGCGTGAAGGGGCCCGCAAGGGCCGACGCCTGCCGGGGCTGCGGGCTGTTCGAAAGAGATACCGCGGCTCCGGAACGTAAGGGCACTGAAGGAACACGGATGGTTTTTAGTCAGTAAAAGTCTGACACTCCCTTCCGCTCCACCCACAGCGAAAGGCGTCATTAGATGATTTTCCATCCGCAAAAAAAAAAAAAAAAAAAAAAAAAAAGGTGCTCTGAGAGTAAAAGTCAGAGTCAAATAGAATATAATACCTACTTATATTAGGGATAAGCAAAGGAAAAAAATATATCGATATATATGTATGTAATATTTACATTAATATTATTTTTAATATTAATGTAAATATTAAAAATATATAATAGCTATATTTATTTACAATTTTACATAATACTTAATTTTATCTACAATATTAAAAACTATGATAATAAAAAAAAAATTACATAAGTTACATACATTTACATAAGTTACATGCATATTTTAAAATAGTATCGATACATATCGCGTGATAAATATGGATATATCGATACATCGACAACATTTGCATGATGTACTAGGATAAGGCCCAAAATTTAATGGCTGATGGTTGGACGACGAAAAAAAAAACGGCAATCGTACATGAATGCTTTTGTATCTCCTTTTGTTATTTCATGTTTTGTCCACTAATGTACAACATTTTAAAATATATCGAAATGAATATGAATTCGATACTCGAAAATAAATATCAATATTAGCAGTATACTATGAAGGATAATTATTATAATATATTGTAACTTCAGGCTCAGAAGGGCAAGATCCCAGAGCCGTAAAGCCAGTTATTAAGAAGAAGAAGCATTTTAACCTATATTACTATTTACTATACTCTTTGACCTATTGTTAAATAGTCATCACAGACAGAGTACTTTGAATAATCAGAAAATAGTCATTGTGCACTGTGCAGCGATGTTATTCAAGTTTTTGTTCTAAAATGTTAACTCCAAGATTTAAATTGTCTCAAGACGAGAATCACTTATTTATAAATGTGCATGCGCCATACACAAATATTGGCGAAACAGAGATCGATGTCGATGGAGAAAACTTTTTGTTCGTATCAAGTCCTTATTTTCTTCGCCTACGTTTACCGGGAAGAATAGTCGAAAATGATCACTCGAAAGGTTCTTATACTTGTGATTCTGGGGATTTTAATCTCGTCTTCGATAAAGAAAATCCCGGTGAGCACTTTGAAAATCTCGATATGATAACTAGCCTCCTAGCTCCTCGTGATATACCAGATATAAATCCACATTTGGTGGAAATGTTAGAAGAGGATGGAATTAACACTAATTGCAGTGATAAAGAAAACGAAAGTGATGATGATAATGTTAAATATAATTATGGTTTCGCAAGCAAAATATCTGCAGAATTTAGCGATATTGGCAGCGAATTTCCACAAGTTTTTGAATTAAGAATGCCTGAACGAGTTGCCGTTCATGAACGAAATATCCTTCGCGTTCAGCACGAAAATGATAAATTTTCATCTGATCACTACTTGGCGGATTTGTTTGATGATGAACTTCTTGAACCTTATATTACTGGTACAGTTTATTGGAACAGACCTGATTTCAATAATGACATTGAGTTTGTTGATGAGGAAGTTGGAATATTAAAAGAGCTTCCGAATAAACATTATCTCTTAAGCAAAAATGAGTATAAGCAAGTATTACTTGGTCTTGTGGATATTTTATATGCATATTGCTATGACAAGAGAACAACTTTAAATGAAAGCACTGTGGAGTCTAGTTGGACTATAAACAAATTATCCTCAACTTTGAGCTGGTTTTGTGTATTTAAAGACATTAAGCAAGTGTTAATTGCTTGTTATAGGCGAGCTCTTATTTATCCTATATTTAGAAACTTTGAACTCTGTAGAAAAGTTAAAGAAGACCTTGTATTAATGTTTAGAAAAGGCAAAAAGTTTATCATAAAATGTTTAATTAATATCTATTCAATGTTTAATTCAAGTAATGATGCTCGATATATTCTTAATCAGCTGTATATCAAAGATTACTTGATTTTCCTGCAAAAATGTAGATCTGAAGAGTTGAATGAATTGTGTAATAATATAGCCAATATTGATATACTGAAAAAGGATGTTGATTTAGAATTGGAAGAATTAGAAGCTGCTGCTGAGATGGTGAAAAAGGAAGAGACAGAAATAATGGAGAATGAAATGGCTGTCAAAATGGCATCTATGTCATTGTTGCCAGGGTTGAAAAAGAATAATGTGTATATAGAAAGTAGTGAAGATGATAGCGATTCCTCAGATTCCAGCTATGATTCATCAGATGATTCTTCAGAAGAGCTAGATTCCGATGATGATCCATCATGATATCGGTGCTCATAAGAGTTGTGTGGCAAAGGCTTGTAAAGAAAGACCTTTGCCAGAGACTCTTGGTTTTTGAACACTAAAATAAAAGATAAAAGTAAATATTAAAATTTTATTCACATACATTACATAAAACAGTGACTATACACCTCATTGCCAGTAGTGTAGCTCACATATATATATATATATATATATATATATATATATATATATATATATATATATATATATATTATATATATTAGTTTCATAGGCCAGTTATGTCTTTAAGATTGTGTAGTTGAGGGAGAAAATTAGAAGAAAAATAATATCCAAATTCCATAAATCAACCCTCTCCAAGGTGGATACATTTACACATGAATACAGGACAGGGTGTCTATGTATGTATGACTAAACAAAATAAGGGACATTTCTCAGTGAGTGTAATTTTATATATTTTTACAATTTAATAATATTCAATAAGAAGTTTTAATGTTCCTCATATAATACTCTAATAACATACTTATATACTTAAAAATTATATACTTAAAATTCTAATTATATACTTAAAAATTGTTAGCCGTTGTCATTGATCACTGTTAGTGATCGATGGCCATTGTTCAATTGATTGTATTATAATAATAAATATGTTTGATTCAAATGAAAAATTGTAATTTGATATACTTACTCTTATACTAATTTTATTTACCACATGCTCAGTGGTGAAGGACAACATCGTGAGGAAACGGGCATGTCTGAGAAATAATATTTTTTTTTCGAAGACAGGAAGTACGCCAACATGCATTGGGGCAGCGTGGACATTTCCTTGCCCTAATACCCTCTCCGATATGAATGTAACATATATAAAATATAGTTTTGTACTTACCATTATGTTTTAACTGCCGTTTCTTTCGAAATTTAAATAATACTTATAAATAGGTAATTTGTATTAAACAGAGGTGTAGATACCGTTGTATCGACAATACAAAGCCCTCATGGTTAAGAAGACCCACCAAACATTCCCATGAACAGTAGATATATCATCATAGTATTAAATTTCTTAACAATTATTAACATTTAATCAATCGAATGAACTAAGGTATATTAAAATCTCAATATTGTCTAAATAGTTACTAAAATAATTTCATCTCATATTCTGCTACACTTAGGGTTGAATTTTTTCTCCTTATTTATATTGGACCACCCCTGAAGTATAACCTATTTAATAAAAATACCCTCAAAATTGTCACCGTGTAGGCAAAGGAAAGGCAAATGTCTATTATACTTTCTTACCATATAAGTGTGCTTCGGTTTATATGGTAAGAGAGTTTAATAGACATTTGATTGTAGCTTTCTATGTTCTAAGTTGATTGCAGAAGTCCATGGCCTGAAGGAGTGACCATCAGATGGACTATTAATACAGTCGCTCCGTTCACTTAGATCCATAATCGTGATCCACAGATGGAGCCATGAATATTTTCTGAGGTGAAAACTTCTTTAGAATCTAAGGTGTTGAAGAGCAGGCATATCATTTTATTTCATTACGCGGAAATAAGCAAATGAAGTTCTAACAACTTCAATATATTGAATTTCCGCAAAGTAACGCCTGATTATATTAATTTTCTATAGAATCGTTTTGATTTGAAACTCGATGAAATGAAAAAGCAACACTAAAAAGAGACAAACAAAATATACATCTATAGGATTTGGTCTGCGAGAGAACCAGATAGAATATTACGAGTATATTAAATTAGTCATGTTTAGGCTATTTAACATCTATTTTACGTACCACCTTGAAAGTCAATCAATTTTGTTCAATAAAATAAATTTTCCTATAGAATGAAGTAGATGGCGCTATTAAAAAGCAATTTTACTCAAAAGAAAATATTCTTTTGATTTAATATATTAAAATTTAGAATCTTACATGTTTAAAAATAAGGACTATAACCAGACTATTTATTTGATATAAAATAAAATTTTATCTTATGCCGCACTGGGGTTGAAAACTATCATTATCATATTAAGTAAATCATTTGCCGTGGAATATTTTAATTTTATAATTTTTTTTATAGGATAGGGTAACAAACGAGCACACAGTCCACCTGATGGTAAGTGGTTGCTGAGACTAATAGACATCTACATCTATCTTCGATAAAGAATCAAAATGCATATGCGTTGTCACCCGTGAGGACTAAGATGGAATGCCCCGTTTCCAGTAAAAAGAGTCTCTCGTTCTCACCATACGAAACACAGCAGTGTTAAGCTGCTGTTTAACGCTGGTATTCTGTGAGAGCGTGGTCCTTCCCTGGACAAGCCGACCCATTCGTGCTACAACTATACTACTAATATAGCTGCAGCATGGCTCTACCACGTATAAAATATTTTTACTTTCATTTGAAAGTTTTACTTCTACTGCATGTGAACTGCACTCATGTTTTTTTTCTTCACGCGACAAACGAGCACTGAGTCCACATGACGGTAAGTGGGTGCTGTGACGCAAAGATTTAATACATTAAGCTGTTATTTTACTCTGGTATTCTGTCAGAGCGTGGTCTTTTCCCGGTCGAGCAGACCCATTCGTGCTACAACTATAATATAGCTGCAGCATAGCTCTACCACGTTAACTGTGGATTAATGTATATCATTACAGCCCTTCACAAGTCCACTGCTGAACATAGGCCTCCCCCAAGGAATGCCACAAAGCACGGTCTTGAGCCACTTGCATCCATCGACTTCTCGCATGTCTCATCAGGTCGTCATTCCATCCAGCGGGGGGACGCCCTACACTTCGCCTGCAGTACACTCCGCCTCATACGAGAATAGAATAATTTTTATTTAATATTGATTACAAGTAATTCTTATTGAGTCAATAGAAGTCAATTTTTTACTTTACCACTGGTTCGAAAAAAATGTTCTGTCCTGGGAAAAACCAGCAAGAAACCCAGCGGGACTTTTAAAAAAAATAAATTTTACAATATATCAGTAAATAGTAGAATTTAATGATTTTGTTGTCAAAAAAGGAACATCAGTAAAAAGTTTCGCAAATCCTTTACAGTATATATATATATATATATATATATATATATATATATATACTGTAAAGGTATTTTAATTAAAATCATACTCAATTAACTTAATTGCCATCAGATTCTGGTACATAATGTACATACTTTCATTATCGCCAAAATGAGTTGCATTCTTAGCTTAATTATGTTAATTTTGCAACCTGGACAAGGGATGTGATATCTTATACCTGAGATATTAAGAGGAAAAAATATCTTATATCTTTTTTAACAGAATAAGGGTGACAAACGAGCACACAGTCTACCTGATGGTGAGTGGTTGCTGTGGCCCATAGACATCTACATCTATCCCTCCCTACATCTACAACTGATTACTAAGATGGAATGCCTTGTTTTCAGTAAAAAGGGTGTTCCGTTCTCTACACTCATCATACGAAATTTATTGTCAGAGCGTGGTCTCCGGTAGAGCAGACCTATTCGTGCTGCAACCATAATATAGCTGCAGCGTGGCTCTACCACGTGAAAATCATCTGCGGATTATGATTATGGATGTCAGAGAACGGAACGTTTTATATGATAAAATAGCTGGAAGGAAAAGGGAATATAATGATAATAATGAATTTTGTTTGTAACTTATCTAATCACCTTCCGAGCAAAAGTATGTGCAAAGGGAACACGGACCTCGGCTTTAACGACATAGCTCGTGTTGCTTGGTTCTCAGTTGTGAGAGCCGAGATATGAAAATCACCAGGCTCGGTGCGGTATGATGTTTGTGTCACCGTAGTAAATTCCTTAGGTACGTCATAGTACTATTATTTATTCTTTGTACATTGTATTTTTCCAATTACGACTAAAAGAAACTACGTTAATTTACCTAACCTAGTAACCTTTTTGCTTGATTTGTGATTGCGATTAATAACACGTTTATTTAAGACCACGTTAGTGGAAAAATTGGAAAAATTTTAGAAATTTGTAGTCACAATACCTAATGATATGATTTAATGTGACGATTATCCTCATTTTCATAAATTTGTCAGTTATAGCTGAACTAACTGATATAGAATACAGAATTCTTGTAAACAACACGTGCACCGCACACCTGCGCCGTTGTACCTGCAGTGGTGCCTGCGTATTAACTACTTGTTTTGCTTGTATAAAGCAGACGGAGCGATCGCGGTTAGAGGAGTTTTGGCTCTGGTCAGGCACGGTGCACTTGCGGTATTCCCCTACTAGCTCATCCCCCAGTATCGCTAAAAGTGGTAATCTGGCCTCGCCGCGATAATTTTTAGAATGCTGTTGTTACTGTTTCGCAGAAGCTGTAATATTGAGGCTGATTTCTTTCGCATAACACCATGAAATCCATGAGTCCTAGCATCCGCGTAAATTTTCGAAGCACTACAGCGCCATGGCAGTCCCAACAGCATCCTAAAAGCGTTATTGGCGCTGTAAGCTCGTCGCCTGTATGATACCCACAGGCTGCTCGAGTAAAAAGATTGGCAGAATGCTTTGAAAAGAGTGAATTTTACGTCATCTGTACATCGTGCAAACCTGCGGGTAAGCATATTGCTCCTAATCGCCAGCGTCCTACGCTCCATCTCTATATTACAATCATCGCTCAAATCGCTCGTTATAATGTGACCAAGATACTTGAAAGTATTAACAATATTTGGGGCTATACCATTGAGGTATACGGGAGGAACACAACGCTGCCGCTGTTTATGTGCTGTAAAAAGGAGAATTTCACTCTTTTTCGAGTTGTACTTCAAGCCGTGATCCTCCGCGTATTTCTCGCTAATCTGTATATCTGTACCATCTTATAATTGTATAAAGTAATATATTGTAAATTAATTGTATTTAAAAGAAAGCGGACGGATTTCTTACTACTTCTTCCCAGGACAGAGGTTTTATCCGAACTAGTGCAGTGGTAGTAGTACTATATTGAATAAAAAGACGTTCCATTCTATCCTAACGCCCTTTCCTCGTGATTCTACATGTTTATAA